GATCGCCTGGCGGATCCGCCTCGAGGCCGCGCGGGAAACCGAACGGCGCGCGGCGTCGGCTGACGAGGCGGCCGCCGGGGGGTGAATCGCGCGCCCCCTCCTCCCCTTCCCCCTCCCCGACGTCCGCTTCCCGCGACGCGGCCGCGGGAGGAGAGGATTCCGTTTGGCGCCCCCCCTCTCGGCCGGCGGACGCCGCGGGAAAATCCGACGGCAGTCGCCCCGGCTTCGCCCAACGAGGCGGGGCTTCCATCGCGCTGCGTCGCCACCCCACCCCATCCCCGGGTGCAGGCGCGGTGGGAGTGGAAATGTCGGATAAACGGAAAGGAAAGCAACCCCAAGTCGTGGCGGGCCTACCCACCGGCGGCCGCGCGATTGCTCGAGGCGGCCTACCTCGCCAAGGCGGAGCGGGTGGAGATCCCGGATGCGGTTTTGCGCGAAACAGCCCCCTCGAAGGCGGGTAAATCGCGCGGAAAAGCGGATCAATGCACGTTTAGCGTCTGCTTTAACGACTCCTCCCACAGCGGCGCGATGGTTCAGTATGAGAATCAAGCGAAGGGGAAGTATCACTTGGTAAGGCGCATCCCCTTAGAGGCAGTAAGTGGAAAGAAGATTCCAACAAAAGGTGGTAAGTCCGCCAAGGCTGTTTCCGTCTCGTCTTCAGAGTCGATAGGAAGCGACGATAGTTTCTCATCCTCGTCCTCTGATGACGACGACGAGGATTCGTCGAGCAGTTCTTCTTCGTCTTTTTCTTCTTCTTCTTCTTCTTCGGAGGCGGAGGAGGAGGAATCTATTTTGGATAGCAGCGTCTCGAGTGGTAGGCGTAAAAAGAAGCTTCGTACAGGCCGATAAGCGGATCAAATGTTCCACCATAAAAAAGAATATACCCAATCATATGTGAATTTTATAACTCACACCAATAGATTCTCTATGGGCATCTTCTTCTGTGCAGGGCTGCTTGGCTTTGGCGTTTCGAAGGACTGGGTGAATATGCATTTTTTGAGGTACGAGGAATTTAAGCTTGAGTTGTCCTCACCAAAGTAGGTGAAAGGGCTTACACAGGATCCGAATCAAGGACTTAAAGGGTGTAAGTGATTCTATGCCAAGAATAACTTTTTTCCTACTGAGAATCAGGGTCGGTGAGGCTGGTTTTTTTTCTTATCCTTTATATTCAGTTCAGATTCATCTCAAGTGTGAAAGTTGTGCATCGTATACCTATAGGAGCATTATAGCATTGCAACAATAGAACCGATAAAATCGGTGGTATAGCAGCGTTTAAAAGACGTTCTAAACTTGATAGATTGATCTGATACCTTCTAATTAAGCAACACGCAGCAACCCACGACGCTGGCGAAGTGGCTGGAGAGCAACGGAGAGCTAAATGTGCTTATTAGTAGAGAATGCTGTAATATTGGTAGGATAAAGAAAGAAGATGGAATTTTATGCAAATCTGTTGAGATCAGAATGTGCTTGACACTGCTGTCTTCGCGTTTCTATTTCCCATAGGTTTGTTCTTTTTCTATTTTATTCTATTGCCTTACGTTTTTCTTGATCTCGTAAGGCTCGAGTTATATTAGTTGCATCAATATCTAAATTCAAAGTTCGTGTTTTTTTTTGCTGTCGCAACAAGCGAAAAAGTTTCTTTCTCTGATCTACCGATTACGTCTTAATAGAATAAGTTTCTAGCAACCAAGTGCGTCAATTCCGGTGAAAGGGAACGTCAAACCACGGGATCCAACGACCCCCCATGTTATTAGCTAGTCTGGAGCTGAACTCCTTGATTATTCCAGGGACGGTGCTCATCCTGGTGTGGATTTTTTTCTACATCCGGGTGTTCTTGGACTCCAAAGGGGGCACGAAGTTATCCGGGCAAGGCAAGGCTGCCGCCTCGAATGGGGTGCGCGGGGAGAATTCCGTTTTAATCCTCTTCGGCTCGCAATCGGGTACGGCGGAGGCCTTCTCGAAGTCGCTCGGGCGGGAATGCGCGAAACGCGGCATCCACGGCATCGTCTGCGATGCGGAGGAGTACAACCCGGAGGACCTCGCGCTCGAGAAGGTCGTCCTGGTCATCTGTGCGACCTACGCGGACGGGGAGCCGACGGGAAACATGAAGGCCTTTCATGATTGGATCATGGACGACGCCCGCCTCGTCGGGGCGGAGCTTGCGACGGTGAAGTACGCCGTCTTCGGGCTTGGGGATCGGCAGTATAAGTTTTTTTGCCGCGAAGGCCTCACCCTCGACGCGCGGTTTGCCGAGCTCGGGGCGGAGCGCTTTTACGGGATGGGCATCGGCGACGCCGATAGCGGGAATTTGGAAGGGCAGTTCGAGGAGTGGGTGCAGGGGCTGTGGGGGGCCCTCAGCCGCGCGCTCGGGGCGAGGCTGGAGGTCCATCCGGAGGAGATCCCCGAGTCGGAATGCCGCGTGAAATTCTGGGAAGACGCCGTCGAGGGCGCGCCCTACCCCGCGACGATGTCGATTTTGGAGCCCACCCAACGCCTCCCCGTGGCGATCCCCGTGGTGCGGAATGAGGAGCTCATCCGGGGCGCCTCCACGCGAAGCACGCGGCTTCTCGAGTTCGACCTCACGAATACGATTATTTCGTATCAAGCCGGGGATTACCTCGGGATCCTCGCCTGCAATCTCGACACCCTCGTGGAGGCGTATCTCGCGCGGCTGGGGCTTCCCCCGGGCGAGGCGGAGCGGGTGCTTTCGCTGCAGGATAAGAAAACCCTGAAGAACGTCTTCCCCGCGCGCGTTTCGGTTCGGACGGCGTTGAAGTGGTATCTCGACCTCGCCGGGCCACCGAAAAAATCGACCCTCCGCACCTTTGCCTCCTACTGCACCGACGCGCAGGAGAAGACGGAGCTGCTACGCTTGTTAGCCGTCGATGCGGCCGCGCAGAAGGAGTACGATCGCCTGCTTCACGAGCTCCGCACCGTTCTCGGCTTTTTGAATCGCTTCCGTTCGATGAAGATTACTCTGCCGATCTTTTTGGAGTACATGCCCCGGATCGCGCCACGGTATTTCTCGATCTCGTCCGATTTGTTGTACACCCCATCCAAAGTCAGCATCACGGTTGGGGTGGTGGAAGGGGGGCTTTGCACGCCCATGCTTCAGCGGCTCAAGGTGAACGATTGCGCCTATGCGTTTGTGCTGAAATCGAGTTTTCACCTTCCCCTACGCGCGAAGGAGCGGCCGATTATTATGATCGGCCCTGGTACGGGCGTGGCGCCTTTTATCGGATTTATTCAACGGCGATACGCGTGGAAGGAAAAAGGGGCGACCCTCGGCGAGGCAATGTTGTTTTTTGGCTGCCGACACTCCGCGGAGGATCACATCTACGAGGATTTCACCCGTCAGGCGCTCAACGACGGCATCCTCTCCGCGATCGAGGTCGCCTACAGCCGGGATCAGCCGGAGAAGATCTACGTGCAGCACCGCCTCAAACAACGAGGGAAGGATGTTTGGCGGATTATCCATAACGATAACGGCAACCTTTATATCTGCGGGGATGCGAAGCATATGGTCCACGACGTCGAGGCCGAGCTCCTTCAAATTGCCCAACGGGAGGGGGGGTTGTCTAAGGAGGAGGCGAGTGAGTTTCTGACAAAGATGGGCGATGAGGATCGGTATCTGAAAGATGTGTGGTAATGAATCGGCTAAAGGAAGGGTCGGGTCTGTTTGAGAAGAACCTGAAAAACGGATGAGAACGTGTGGGCATTCAATGGTTGTCAAAAGTTCTACTTGCGCAGTATTTGCGGGTTATAAAGGGGGAAAAAAAGCTTACATGTATTTATCTATCTATATAAATATATGTATGCATATATTTATATAAGCAGAACATGGGACTAATGCACACGTTGCACGTGACATCCACCTCTTATTAATTAGCTATCAAGAAAAATATATGGACGGGAATAATTCTTCCATCGAGGTTTTTAATTTCAACTATATACCGTCTTGTTTCTTTTATCACATATGGATTCCTGATTTGTTTAGTGAACGAAATATTGGTGTTTAATATCTTTGCGAATGTTAACAACATTTATCGGAAAGATTAAAGTTTGGATTGACGCTATACTAATATAATTTAATACAGTATATTGGAAAGCAAGAGACAAAAAACATGGAAAATAGCGTGAATCGGTATTTGTTATACACCTGCATCCATGTATGTTCGTGTTTAGTGATTTGCCCAAACTCATGCGTTTCATTTCTTCCTCACATTCCATAGACGTTAAATATATAAATAGATATATAATATACAGCGTCAATTCTCCTTGCGCGTATGTTGAATCAGTGGCTGTTTTGACTCTATGCTACTCTTGGATTGATATCGAACACCCCCCAACGAGTGTGGTCTCAGCTATTCGATTTTACCTTAACATGATTGCCACAGCTCTCTAGATCGACGTTGGTTATCCACACAAGATAGCTCTGTTTGGCATCAACAAAATACTGGGAGACGCAAAAGAAGCGACCAAAAAAATTTCGAAACAGGGAAGAGAAAACTCCAGAAATCGGATTATCCTCAAATTCTAGGATAACAAAGCAGTAGCCTGCAACTAGGGTGTGTAGTCAAGATTAGAGAAAACGATCTAGGCAACGTTTTTGAGTGCGATATCAGCTTGTAGGAAAAAATAAAAGTGGGCTTTGCATGGAGTTTCGAATTCCAGCATAACGTAGGGGAGTGATCTGTTTGAGCGTAACACCACTATAGAACATCCTGGTCTTTAGAGAAAATTTAACACCATATGTTGAATCAGCTGACCCTTTGAATCTTTCATCATGCCATCTCCTGAGATAAATTCATCTAGATCTCAACCTAACAAAAGTCACACATTATTTATCTTGCTTCTATGAGCTGATGCTCGATGGAAAGGCGCAATATGTTCCATTATCATGAAAAACTAATCTGCGCTTAAGTATTTATTTTTTTAAGGAAATTTCGATGATCCTATGAAATTAAATTATTTGCCATTTCATACATATCAGCTCGAGCTAAAAAACCATTTCCAATGTTTTAAACTAATGAACCCAAGTATAGTACGCATGACATGTATGGCATTTATGACGATGCAACATCTTAACGTCTGATTTCACATTCTTACTTTTCATTGTTAATCGCAGGTGCTCAAATTATGATTCATCGGTTTCAATTGTATTAGCTGTTTTGAGGCGAAGGGCATCATCGGTGTACACCATATCGGAAGACTTTCAGCGGATGTCGAATGCTGCGCTAATGCAGCAACCGAATCTTCCTCTTTTGAATTCGTCAAGGACTGAATTACCCTCAGGTATGCTCGTGAATGAGAACACCAGCCCGTGCGCGGAGGGTATCGATCCCTGTAAACCATCCACCCCTTCGCAGTTATGGATGGATGACGCGAAAAGGTTAGCCTCCGCAGGGCGCGCGAGTTTGGTCCTAATCAATCCATCCACATGGAGAAAAAGAAAACTCGAGGTGGCGTTTCCGTCGGGGGGGTCCTACGGAGAAGTGGGCGGCAACAACCCCGCGCGTGATTCGCTGCGTTCGGACGAGGCTCATAGTCGACACTCGTTTGAAATCGACCCCATTAGTCATCCCTTTTCATCTTTTACGCAGAACCCAAAAAAATGTGAAGTAGGCGCGTCTTCCACTTCACGGAAAGGATCCGACAAGGAACCTCGATGCCCGATCGACCGCGACGACGGCCATCCGTTTTCAGATAACGAGCCCAAAAGGATTGAGAGGCGACCACGGCAAACTCGGTTTCATTCCAATCCGAGGATATCCGCTACGCTTCACAGCCTCACTCCTCTTTCGATGCCGTCATGTGGGGAGGAGGTGATCTCTCCAAATCCTACGCCTGCCTTTCAGACGGATCGCCTTGCCGATGCCTATCATCCCCCCAGTGTGATCGAGGATCCAAATGCGATGATAGTGCGTCGGCTATTCGCCAAAATCTCCACAGAGGGCAAATCGTGGAGGGCATTGCAAGAAATCAATGCATCCTTGAACGCGGCGAATAGAATTACCGCAGACGGCGATTCTGCACAAATGCACCCACCCCCCGCTTCATTCTCTTCCAGCGAGGGTAACGAAACCCATGCGGAGACGTCTCTTACGCTCCCCCCTATCGCAGCCAAAGTAAATAAACTTCAGGTGTTGTTTCACGGCGCGGATGAGAGGTTGAACAGTAAGGTTGAATTCGCCATGGACAAGCATAAGACGATCCGCTTCCCGAATAGGGATAATCGCTCATTGCCTTTCCTAAGGCATTGCAATTACGATAGCAAGAGTAGCCTAGGGAGCTCTCAATTGAGTAGATTCAACCTACCAACCCCGACGTTCCCTTTGGTAATACCGCCGAGACCTTCTCCGCTCACGGTATCGCGGCGGCTGGCAGCCCTCGAGGAAACCTCCACCCAGCAAGCTACGAGGGAGAAAGAAAGAATTTTCGCCAAATCATGCGAAATGTTACATCTTCTGAAGCTTCTGGACGCGCTCCTTCAGGAGGAACGGAACCAACGCATCGAGTTGCTCGGCAATTTCATCTCTTGTCGACATCCTCTACCCTGCGCCTGCACAACCGGGTGGCTTTCCGCTTTCGCACCCTCCTCGGTGGCATCTGATACGGTGGAGATTCCTTCCCTTTGTTTTTTTGTCGCCACGGTGCTGGAGGAGCACGTTTTGCTCCAGGAACTGCTTCTGGAAAAGCGGCAAAGCGAGCTGGTTCGCCTGCAAAAGGTATTTGAAATGGGATTCTTTGCCTACTCCATTTATCAGGAGACTCGGGATAACGAGCGGTGGTGTTGGGAGCATCTTATGGCATTTCATCATTTTTGCATGCGTGTTGCCTCCTTACAAGCCAACACCTCGGAGGAGTCTGGAAATTCGATCACAGCGAATGCACGGACTGCTGACAATGGCTACGATGCTTCATCTCCTTTTCCGGTTCATCGTCGTGATTCCCCTTTCTGCTCTTACCTCCAATTTATCGAATGTACGATCTTCTTTGGGGGCATGGAACGGCATGAGGAGAACGCGCGAAGGGAGATTGAATCCGAGGAAGCTCAAATGGCGATTCAACTTCTCGAGGGTATCTCACTTGGGTTGCGGAAGGCTATGGTCGAGGATGTCTCCAACACGGCGTTCGCTCTCCTGCTGGAGGAGGAGGCGTCGGCGTTCTCCTGCTTCCTTGAGAACGCCTTGGAGGAAAGGGGGCAGATCGAAGCCGAGGTACGCGCACGGCGGGATAAGGAAGCCGTGCTCGAGCACATCACTGAAGAGCTGAAGCGATTGCCCGGGGTTGCGGAGGCGGAAAAGGTAGCATTCGTGGTTTGTTATGAAAAGGAGCTTCGCGCGATTCATGTGGAGGAGGTGCGCGAGCGCCATGAGTTGGAGTTGTGTGAGCACCGGCGCTTGTCTATTAGGGAGAGCATCGCGCTCGCAAATCAGTGGCTGATGGAGGGCATTATCGCTGAGCAGGAGAATTCTGAGGAATACCAGAGGAATCTTCTGATAACCGCTGAATTACGCCAACGCAATGTGATTGTTGCTATGAAAGACGAAATGTGTCGCTTGGCTCAGATACGAAACATGTACTTGCGGCAAGAAGAGGTGGAAATGTCTATTTTGATCCTATTAGCGCGGGAATACGTAGAGCGGCAACAAATCATCCAGAAATTTTGGAGCGAATACCAAACCCTCTTTGTGGAACGCTTCGTGCCGGTTTGCGCACCGCAGTTTGCTACAACGAAGATGGATGATGCAGTGAAGGCTTCAAATAGTCCCCACAAATGCGGAGATGTGATGAAACCAGAAAATCCAACATGTGATGATGAGGAGGAAGCAGGTGCTGAGCCTGCCTCCAGTGCAAATATAGCGCCCACCAATATTTTTGATACTGCTGCTAGCATGGATCTCCGCCGCATCATAGTATCTGATCTCTATGAATACTTGGGAACTCATCAAATCTACCAAATTTTCTCGACTTGAGACACTTGGCCCCTGGATGAAAGGGCAACTGAAGCAATTTGGCGTTTGCAATTGTACACATTTGTAACTGTATACCTAGTTTCGAATTGCGCTGTGTAAAATAAACAAAAATTATTATGTTACCTTATATTCTCCATTGGTATTTTACTTCTGGGTACTTGTAAATTAGTTGAGGATTAGGTTCAAGAACACAATGTAAAAGAAAAAGTTGTGTATCACAACCCTTAAAACAAGGAAGTCTGAAGGAATAAAAAGATGCCAAAAAGTGGAAAAGTGGATGCTTTGCTAATTTCTGGCATCCCTAAACCTTTGAAATTGGATCTTCAAGATGTGCGGTGATGTCTGTTCGGTGTAATTTTCTTTGCTTATTCTCCCAGTGGCAGAGGGTAACTGAAGCTTGTTTTCTTTAATTCAAGTAGTAAGGAATTCTTAGTTGTGTTCATAGGGAAGATTTCTCGAGTATGGACCCCTCCAACCATAAAAGTCCAACAACTGGTTCCAGTAAAGGTAGTCCTGACGATTTGGGGATGAATTACTCCGAAAAGATTCCACCTTATTACAAGTGTTTTGGGGTTCACCCCTCTATTAGCATGCAGGACCTTTCTCGCCGCTACAAGAAGCTTTCGCTGGAGTTGCATCCGGATCGCGCTACTTACCGGGCGAATCCACTGAGTAAGGAGGATATCGAAAGGTTTCAGCTCATTACCGAAGCCTATAAGGTCCTATCGGATCCGCAAACCCGAACCGCCTACGATACTCGTCATGGCGTGAACTTCCACGCGCGCCTCTCCGCACTGCAGGAGACGATTGCCTCACACAATTCAGAAGCTATCCAACCCCAGACAGAGCGGGGTGGACGGCGGCGTGGCCGATCCCCTGAATCCCTCTCAGGAAATCCGGACACGGGCATCCGTCTCAAAAGCGAATCCGAACGCAGTGACGATGCGGATGACAGTGAGGAGGAATACTGTCCGGCGGAGTCTGCCGAATCCCACGGGTTGCCCGACGCCGGTCCAACCCCAGTCCTGTCATCCCAGCTCTCGTGGGCGTTGGGCCCAGGGAAAACCGCCACCGAGACGTTTCGTCTCTACCCGGCGGACCTCCCCCACCCCGAGGCCCCTAAGGCGCTCAGCCCCGGCGGGATCGGTTCATTAGCGGCCACCTTCCCGAACGACGCGAACGCGTTGCCGCACGAGGGCGATCATTACCAAACCATCACCATCCACCGTCCCGCTGGCGCGCAGAGCTGGGGGCTTCGGATACGCGGCGACGTCCTGGTCGGGTGCCCGTCCCACCCTGGGGTCCCCTTCCCGGCCCGCATCGTTCAGGTCAACGGGCGGGTCCTGCCCTCGCACGCGATTTGGGACGTCTTGAGGGGCCGGATCGCGGACGAGACCGGTCTCTTGGTCAGAGACCGGACGAGCCCAAGCCCGGGCCCCTCCACCCTGTTGTCCCAGGAGGGTCCCTCCTCGGCCGCCGACGGCGGGGGTGCTGCTGTGACAACGCCGGGGAAGGACCGGGAGGAGCTGCAGCTCACCCTCCTCTACGGGGTGCGGGGGTGGCGGCTCGTTGGGGACTGGGCGGAGCTGCGCGATCCCGCCGCGATGGCGGCGTTGGTGCCGCCAGGTCAGGTCGTCGCGGCGTTGCCCAGCCTCGGCATGGACGCCGCCGTGCTGGCGGTGAACGGGACGCCGGTGAGGGATGCCGATGGGATGCGCCGTCTTTTGACGCGTCTTGCCGTCAAGGATGCGTCAAACGAGCTCTCCAAAGCGTCCTCGCTAGGGCCGTCCACGGTGATTCTTGAGTGCGCGACTCTGAATGAACCCATGCAGGGTTAATAATATTGGAATGGGAGCAGCATCCAGTATAAATAAGTTGCCCCCAAAAGAACTTTACAGGATCCATGGGGGCACCCGATTTTACGATCCAACAGGTATGGTGAAATTGTTTATATTCGTGAAAGTGAGTTTGGTACGATTAATATTCAAACACAACCCAGCGAAAAAGAAAGCGAACTGCTAATCGCTCTTTTTCTCTAGTAAAAGGGAGAGGGCGAAGAATGTTGACATCATCGTCGACATTAATAATAATTACTAAAGATGCCAAACTCAAGCAGATGATAGCTTAGTGTAATTCAATAACCATTGTCCGAATTTATATACTTTTCTGTGCTTCCCTCTCCCCTCCTTCACGCTGACTTTTGACGCTGTGCAAAAGTGATTTGTCTGTCTTTATTGCGGCAGGAGACCTGTGCTGTGAGGGGCCGAAGTCAACAAAGCGAAACGAGAAGATCAATAAAGCGAAGGAACGAAAAAAAAGTTTCCCTGTCTAAGTGCCAAAGTAGCGTATACGTCTGTGGGACTCCATGCCAGCCAAGAGATCCATTTTAGAAAAAAAAGAGCACAAGGTTGTCGCGAATGAGCTTCCTGATGAAATATCTCAAGCACACAGCCCTAAATCCTTTCCTGAACCACCCGAATACCACCAAGAGGGCTTTCAGGTTAACGGATTCAAAAGCTATACAGATGATTACCAATATCTGCGGGATCCTAAGGATAAGCGAACCAAAGAAGCTTTAAAGCTGGAAAATCGCTATGCCAAGGCGTTCTTAAGCCGGCCAAAATTCACTGCGCTTCATCGTGAGCTTTTCCGTGAGATGAAATCAATGGTAGGCGCAAGTGAAGTCTCACTGCCCGTCCGGGAAGGAAATTTTTGGTACTTTACCAGATATGAAGAAAATGAGGAATACCCGCTCCACTGTCGTCGGCCCTGTGATCCGGAGCGTGGGATAAATCCAAATTTTCTTGACGAAGTCAGTGAGTGGCACATAACGCACCAGAACGGTGAGCCGCTTCCCAGGTACCCAGACGAGGTCATTTTTCTTGATCTCAATCTCCTCATGCGAGAGTTAAACGTGCAATATATTGAGGTTGGGGATATGGATATCTCGTTCGATGAAACCAAGATCGCCGTCACGCTGGATTGCTCCGGCGGGGAGGAGATCTTCACCCTGTTTATCTTTGAAATTCAAGACGTCAACTATCGCCGCTGGCTCCACACCGGCGCCAGCGACGCGCAGAAGACGTGGACGCGTTCCCTCATCGAGACCGGCAGGTCCATCTACACACCGATGCCTTCGTCGCGCAGCAATCGATCGAGTCCGGCATCCCCGTTATCGGGCCCGAGGCGCACCCTCAAGAAGCGGGCGTCGGATGGGAAGGAAAAAATCTCGACCGGGGCGTCGTTTCCCTGCGCGAGTTTCGTCGAAGACGTCTCCCCGCCGCCGCGGCACCGCTGCTTGCAAAAAATTGAACTCTTCGACCTCGCCGGCGATGTCTTGTGGGTGAACCCGACGTGTGTGGTGTACAGCGTCCTCAATGAGAAGCTCCGGCCGCATCAAATCGTCTTTCACGACACCGCGGTGGATCCGTCGGATCCCAACGCCGCATGGATTTGCTACGAAGCAGAAGATGAGGCGTTCTGGGTGCTCACCATTAGCTTTACCGCGGATGATCGCTATTTTATCTTCTGCTGCGCCTCCACCGAGGTCTCAAGGTGGTTTATTTGCCCAACGGAAAATGTTACGATCCCCTCAGGGGCGGCCGCTGGTGGGGTTTCGGAACACCCGAGAGGGGCGGTGTTAAAGGTGCCGTTTTTCTGCAAACGAATGGAGTGGATGGAGCGTCATGCACGCGAGTCGAGTCTCGAGCACGCGGAGGCGGTGGTTTCGACCGCAGAATCCAACCGGAGCGTCGACTTTAGGGCGCAATGTGCACCGACGGCGCGATTCCCCGCGCATGGCGAATCACCCGTCGAGTATCATCTTGATCATCATGTGCGGTTACTCGGACCAGGGGAACACCACGGAGGGTGGATTATGACCTCGAACGCCAGAGGGTGTACGAACTTTGCAGTGTTTTTCCTCCCTGACGAGAACGCCGTTTTTGAATGGGAAACCGTATCCCCGACGTCGCCCGCGATGGGTGCGGGCGACCATGCCATTGCGAATGCCCCTGAAAAAGCGCCTAAGAGTCCGAAAGCGTCTGCGAAAGAAACGAAACCACCGAGTTTGTCTACCGAAGCGAAGGGTATGGGTTCCGATGACTGGCCTTTGCTATTTGAATACGATCCCGCGACGAAGGTGGAATCGGTCGAGTGTTTCGAGCACTTTTTACTTATTAATGTCTGTCGGGATGCATCGTCGGAGGTTCTGTTTTGCCCTATGGATCTAATTTGGGATTGGTGGGCCCGCACGCGTTCGCGGGAACACACGCCCAAAGATCCATGCGGCCCCGTGGCTTCCAACCCGCTCGTTAAAACCGCTTTTTCAGAAACCCATAACCGCCCTGCGGGTGGGGATGATTTCCCGGGCCCTTTACGCCTCAATCAGACTCTCCTGCTATCCAGCCTCCTCCTCCGACGGGGTGCTCACCTGAAGGCGGGCGGGGAGTGGCTTCATGTGGATCTTCACGACGAACTCATGCGTGCGGAGGAGTCAGTCGTCGTGGATTCCGATTTCGCCTCCATGGTTTCCCCGGCGCCTCCCACGGGGACGGTCGCGAGGGACGGGGGGGGGTTTCCCCCTCCGTCTTTTTTCGAGCGCCTGGCGGCCTCCAACGCGGTGGGGGATGGGGGGATCGGGGGGGCGGAATCCGCGTCGGGCGCCCTCCCCCCCCCCGGATTCGCGCGACGCCGCTGCGGGAGAGCAGCGAGGGCGCCACCACCCACCTCAGCTTCACCGCGCGGACGTTCGTGTTGGCCGTTTCCCATCTCCTCCGCCCCACGGCGCATTACGAATGGCGGTATGCGGGCTCGGAAGGCGGGGAGCCCGGACGCCCGCCCGCGCTTGCCGTGCGGCTGCTCCGTCGGGAGGCCGTCAAAGGACGGGCCTACGACCCCGCGGCCTACTACGGCTTCGTGCTGTGGGTGCCTTCCGATGACGCCTTCGCGCGGGCCCGCGGGCCCGCGGTGTTGCGGCCCGTCCCCGTCGAAACCCCCGCCCCGGTGGTTCAAATCCCGGTCTTTACGATCTGCCGCGCGGATCGCTTTCACCCCAGACGCAATGGCGCGTTGGTGAATGTGTATGGCGCGTACGGCGAGGGCTTTGAATCGGAGTTCGCCGCGGAGAGGCTGGGGTTGTTGGATCGCGGGTTCGTCTGGGCGTACGCGGCCGTGCGAGGGGGCGGCGAGCTCGGGATCCCTTGGCGGAATGCCGGCCGCAAACTCCAGCGGGCGACCTCGGTGAACGACTTCCTGAGCGTCTCGAGCTTCTTAATAGGGGTGGGGTTGTGCGCGAAGGGGCTTTTGGCGTCCTCCGGCAGCTCCGCCGGGGGGATGATCGTCTGCCGCGCCGCGAACGCCGCGCCGGATCTCTACCTCGCCGTCTCCGCCGGCGCCCCTTTCGTGGATTGCCTCACAACCCTCCTCGACGACGAGCTCCCTCTCACGGTGACGGAGCGCGAGGAGTTTGGCGATCCCACCACCGACGAAAAGGCGTTTGATCTGATTCATGGGATCTCGCCCGTGTTGACGATCCCGTCGGGGGCGGTTGCGCCGAATATGCTGCTCGTGACGAGCCTGCACGATACGCGGGTGGGGTTTTGGGAGCCGATGAAGCTCGCCGCACGCATGCGCGCCCAGATGGTTCACGGCAAGGCCGTTGGGCGTTTTGTGGTGCTCATGTGTGATGCCAACTCCGGCCATGACGGCGCGAGTGGGCGATATGAACATATTGAAGAAATTGCAAGAGAATACGCATTCGTGATCGATGCGGCCAGACGAGAGCGAGAAGGCGACGAAAGGAATGGGGAAACGTTACCATAGGCACGCATGTTCCTACATGTGGAAAAGTATTCCGTGAAATACTTTATAAGTTCACTACTAGGATTTTGAACCTAGTGCTTTCTTTCCTTTTAAGAATCTTCTAAGAACAGAAACAGAGAATCATGGTTGGTGTTGTAAAGATTTTACAGAAACTTTCACGAACACTCGCCAGAGAAACATCTATAAGGTATTATTGATTTTTATTTTATTTTATTCTCACGAAGTAAAAATGAAGATATCAGGAAAAAACGAACTAATATGTCGGTTAATAGCGTTCAACGAGCGAAGCGTCACCTTTTTGGTTCTCTACGTGAGAGCGCGGACCTATTCAGTCCCATTCTTCCATCCTCTCCCTTTATGTGATGCAACATATGATGTCCTCGGATTTTGATTCTTTGATGTATACGTCTGAATTCCTATTTATTTGAACCCTAAAATAGTGTTTACAATGCTCTTAGGAAAGAATATATTCCCTACAATAGCAGACATTTAAACTAGGGGCTGCCTTTGTCTACATTATCATATATATATATATATATATATATTACGTATTCGACTTGGTGATTTGTTTATTGGAGTCCATTAGACCACATGACCTATCGTCCCCCGATCAATCGGTTGACGGATATCCTCAAACGGAATAATCCGCAGGTACTGAAGCGTCATGCCGAGGACCTGACCAAAGCGCTTTCCTCCCTCCCGCCGGAGGCAAATCAGACGCGTTTTATTCGAAACCATTTTTTAATCAGCCCCAAAGCGCTTCACCTGCTGTGTGATGAGCAGATCCTCGAGCGTTACAAGGTCTTTGCGGTGTATAAACCCCCTTTTTGCCCGATGCGTCGCCGCGATGCGGATCTGAACTACCATAAAGTCTCCGTCGAATCCTACATCACGGCCGCGCTCCAATCACAGCTCGTGCACCCCATCCTCCGCCGTGTGGTGCGGAAGGATGCGGTGAAGATTCGCGTGCTCAACGACTTGGATTTGTTCGCCTCCGGCCCCGTTGCCGTGAGCGTCTCCGACGCCTGCTCGTTTAACACCTCCCTTGCCTCTTGCGTGATGAATTACGACGTGCTCGTCGCCGGCCATCTTCCCCTGACCCGTGGGGAATCGAAGGCGATCGAGGTGGAGCGGCTTTATCCGGATTTAACCCCCTCCACACGGCCGGCCGCCGGTCACGCAAGGTGTACGTTTGAGGTGAAACGAAACGCGTACTACAGCGTTCACCCGGTAACGCTTTTGGAGGTGAAAATCCACGCCCCGCCCTCGGCGCGGCCGCCGTGCATCGAGGCGTTTGTGCGGAATCAGCTGGGATCCTTTGTGGTCGGGGATCCCACGGCCTTTGAGGATCCCGTACGATCCCAGACGAAAGGCGGCCGCCTTCATTCGACGATGCATGAACCCCCAACCCACGCGGCGCGGGCGGGAGAAGCCACCCCGCTCGCGTCCGACCTCCTGCGGTCGTCCGTGATCTCGATGAGGGGGGATTGCGACTTTCCGCGGGTGTTTACGCATCTGCGGGAGATTCACTTCTCCGTGGATGTCTTGGACGTCTCGGGGAACCCCATTGGGAATAAGGATGTGAACTTTCACTGTTGGAAATGCGTGGAGCCCATCTTGAGGGATGTTAGTCATGCGACTCTCAAAACGATGCGAATCAATTTACTGGATGGTTCGTGGACTCCGTCGTCGGAGTTCTTGTACTAGGCAAGAAGAAGAAACGGATTTGCATACTCCTATATGGACCCCTTTGGTGAGATTCTTGGCGAGGTTGCTGGTCAACCGGTTCGTTTGGCATTTTGGGTCCTGCAAGAAACCTCACCCAGGCATGATGAGTAGGGGTTCTTTAGCAGGTGCTGATGGAGCTGTCGGAACCATAAAACACGGTCCCGTCAGAGTGACGCAACCTACCAAAGTTTAACGAAAATGAATGGATGAGGCATTTTGTAATTACTATTTTCTTTTATGGTTGTTTGGATCGTAGGGCGCGGACCACATGGTGACTAATCCCACCTTGAAATGAATAACGTTCTATTTTCGCCTTCTACTCCTGATCGTCTGTCGCCCACTGATGTATTCTTGTGATTCTTGATGTCTTTGTTCTTTATTTTTGAAACTGCCTGTAGTCGTATATGCGCGCCGTTATACAGAAACCGTGAGCGTGCGTAAATAATAGTAAGAATAGGCCTGCTACAGGGTGGGGGGAGAAACGTGTCTCACGAAAGGATTCGATCCACACGCCATTTAGTCATTTTTTTCTCAACCCTTTTTCGTCTTTAACGGCGTGTTGATTTCTCCGCGGGTGAAGAGCGCGAAATGCCGCGAAAGGAGACAAAGTTGAAGAGGACCTCACCTCGATCGCCATCGCGCAGCGCCACCCCTTTTTCCGATTATTTCACCAAACCCGGCTCGTCGCGACGGCGAAAGATCACATCGGGAAATCGCGTACCCAGTTCAAGACGGCGTCGAAAAGGATCGGCAAAAGGATCAACCAAGGGACATGCGAGGGGAGGGGGTCGTTCGGAAGGCCGCTTAAGCCCCTCCCGGGAGCTGCGTTCGCCCGCGCTGGAAGGGGGGGATCCCTCTGGCGAGCCTAACGTCGAGGACGCGCGTGGGGGTGTCGAGGGCGACGCGCCACCACCCGTTTCTCGACCGCGCGTGCTCCAGCAGCTGGCGGATCGCCTCGCGCATTCCTTGGAGGCGTTGCGCGAGAGTCTCGCGGAGAAGGAGCAGTGCTTGGCGGCCTTGGAGGAGCAAAAGCGCGCCGCCGAGTTTCAGATTTCGAATGTGTTTCAGCGGAGGCCCACCTCCCCTCCCAATCTCAATCGCATCCGACAAGAAAAGGTGCAGCTCGAGACGGAGATTGAAAAAACCAACCACACCATTCGGGAGTTGATTGCCCTCTCGAATCGTCTTGATCAGATCCGGCAACATCGAACGAAGAGCCTCGGTAGTGCGAAGAAAAAGCTTGAAATGGAAATCAAAGAGCTCGAAATTGAAAAGCAGATGAACGCCTCTATCATTCGCGAGGGTTTTGTGAATCGTATTAATCTGCTTCGTCGTTATTGGCCGTGGCGGCAACTTCTCGAACTGGGCGATACGACGGTGGCGTCGACCTTTGAGGAGGAGTTGAAGCGGGGACCGCGCTACCGCAACGTCGGGCTGCAAAACAACGTCCAATCCGATTATCTTGAACAGCAAATTAAGTGGTTGGAGACCCTCCAGACTCGCGAAAGTGCCTTTCAAAATCGTCTCTGGCAACTCGAAAAGTTCGTGGAGGATCTCTACGATATCAACGATATGATCGAAGAGGCACTTTTGTGCAAAGTGTGTGGGTTGCTCTATGATGATCCGGTTCTTTTCTGGCCGTGCGGGCACTCCTTTTGCCACGACTGCTTCCAGTCTTTAGCGATTGCTCCTAGTCTTTACCGCTGCCCGATCTGCGGCAGCATCGACAGCGAGGGGTTCGTGCATAACTTACTTTTAGGGGATACCGTGGCGAAGTGGATGTTTAAAGATCTGGGTTTCAACGGCCTGCAGGCCCCTCTTAGTAGCATTCGCATCCATCTCATGCGCTTTCAAAAAACCCACTCGGATAGTAAGCTAGTAAAGCTAAAACAAATTCTGAAGGAGCAAACGTTCAAGGAAAGCCAAGGTGGTGCGTCGGATAGCAACGATATCACAATTTCATATCGAACATACTAAAAAAAAAAAACCACGTATGTGTGTAGGCGGTGGGTCGGGGAAAATTAAAAATTTATGCGGTCATCTGAATATGACGCAAGGTTTGTGCTTTTGATCCCAACACGGAATGTACATTACTACTAGAATTGCTATCATCAACAAGAACAATGATCTATATTATGAATGTATAGGGTCACTCTCTTAACCTCAAGTTGAATATTCCCCTGTGGGCTTTATTATTATTATTATGAGTAGGGTCTTTTTTTCCCAATGGATTTCTTCCAAACTTTCTTCTGTTGTCTTTATTAACATTTTCTTTTGTTTGGTATTTCCGGCCCTCTCAAAAGTTTCTATATAAGAATAAGAACTTGAAATAATCCCAAAATGCATGTAGGTCAAGAAATTGACGAGATGGAGGAGCGGCGCCTGAACAAGGCACGGATGCGTCAGAAAAAATGGGTTCAACGCCAAGAGCGGTCCAAGCTCACCCGAGAGGAAATCGAGCTCCTGAAGCTAAAACGGACGGACCTCCGTCGAAAGCTGGACGATCGCGAGGCTGCGGGAGAAACCAACGCCATGGAAAGTGCGGAGGACACCTATACATACTTTATAGATCTGCCGATTTCTCAGCGTACGATTCTAGGGCTGGAGCGTGGAAACTACAAGAAATTAACCCCCATTCAGAGCGACGCGCTTCACCTCGCACTTGCGGGGTATGATGTGCTCGGCGCCGCCAAAACCGGCTCGGGTAAGACGCTTTGCTTCGTGATTCCGGTTTTAGAGCAGCTGTTGGTGGAGCACTGGGATTCGGATATGGGGGTGGGGGCGATCATCCTCAGCCCGACGCGAGAACTCGCGCTGCAGATCTTCAAAGTCATCCAGGTGGTTGGGTTTAAACACGTCTTCTCGGTAGCCTTGCTAACCGGCGGTCGCGACGTGGAGGAGGAGCGAAAACGACTCCAGATGATTAGCATCATGATCGGCACGCCCGGCCGCGTGCTGCATCACTTGCAGGATAACTCGAATCTGGCTCTGGATAACCTTCAAATCCTCTGCATGGACGAGGCGGATCGGCTGCTGGATTTGGGCTTTCGGGAGGCCATTTTGAGCATCCTGCGTTACCTCCCGCCGCGGCGCCAGACGCTGCTCTTTTCCGCCACCCAAACGAGCGACGTCGAGATGCTCGCGCGGATGTCGCTGCAGGCCCCGCGCTACGTCTCCTCCCACGCGATCACCAGCGCCCCGACGCCCTCCACGCTTTGCCAGAACTTCCTCATCGTCGAGCTGCATCGCAAACTCGACGTTCTTTTGATGTTTCTGAAACGCCACCCGAACGACAAGATCGTCGTTTTCGTGAGCACGTGCAACCAGGTCCGCTTCATGTACCTCAGCTTCTCGAAGCTCCTGAAGAAGATGCGCATCCCTTCGATGTGTTTGACGAGCAAGATGAAGCAATTCCGCCGGGATGAGGTATTTAAGACGTTCTGTCGATGCAAGTCGGCGGTTTTGTTCTGCACGGACGTGGCGGCGCGTGGGTTGGATTTCCCGCTCGTGCACTGGGTGGTGCAGTACGACTGCCCGGATAGCGCGCAGACGTATATCCATCGCGCCGGCCGCACCGCACGCGCGGGCGCACGGGGTGTGAGTTTGCTCTTTCTCACCCCAAGCGAGGTCCCGATGCTTTCGTACCTCGCGAACAAAAATATCCCGATGCGGGAGATCGCGGTGAAGCCCGGGTTGATGCATTCCTCGCAGGAGATCTTCGTGGCGTTGGTCGTGCAGGGGTTGAAGTATGAAGCCCAAAAGGCCTTCATCGCCTATCTGCGCGCCGTCGCCTTCGCGAGCAACAAACACGTTTTTAATGTGAAGTCGATCGACGTCGAAGCTTTTTCAAAATCGCTCGGGCTTCTCATGGTGCCGGACATGTCCGAGTTATCGCAGCTCCAGCGGAGTTCTAAGAATCTTCCGTGGGATGTCGTGAACTACCTCGCCTCAAAGGCTGGAAAGAACGCGAAGAAGCAGGACGAAACCGCGGAGGAGAGGCAGGCGCAGTTCACCAAGAAAGAACGCCGTCTTCAGGCTTCCGATATGTTTCGTGTGTTAGAGCAAAAGCAGCGATACACCGCACCACAAAACGCGCTTGGTGATGAAACTAGAGAAGACAGGGATGACGACGCATTCCTTGTCAAAAAGAGCAAAAATGTCGATGAAGTCGAGGAGGTGAAGGAAAAGATGCAACTTACGGCTGAGGAACGACTCGCCGGGCTTTCCAAAGCAAGGCGTCGAAAGTTCATTGAGAATCCGGACGTCCGAGTGAAGGATCTCGGCCTAAACACTCGGATTGTCTTTGCTAATAGTGATGAGGATGAGGAAGATACCGCCGCAGATCCCCAAGAGCAAATCAGCCACGCCGTCGTCCGTTCGCATGAGGCTTCGCACGGTTCGGAGGGAAGCGAGGGGTCGGAGGTGGAAAAAATGGATAACGAAGACGACTTCACAAAACACATTCAGCGGCGCGTTTTAGCTCATAAAGAAGAGGACGCTGGCCGCGCCAAGCAGGTCCGACATCTGCGTCGTCTCCAGCGAAGTGGCAAGATATCACGAAAGACCACGCTCGAGGAGTGCGGTAAGAATAGCGAACGAAACCCAAAAGACGAGATGGAGACGAGCAGCAGCGACAGTGGGGACTTCGAACGAAGCGATTCGTCCGCCTCGAGGGATGAGTTTTATCACTCGGATGGTCACTCGTCGGAGGGGGAAAGTTCATCGGAGGAATATTCACGGGCTGTTGTGGGAACACGGCGAGGGCGGCAGAATGACCACCGCGACAGCGAAAGCGAGGTTGAAAGTGAAATGGAAAGCGACCGACGTAACAAACACAATGACGCTAATCACGGTGGGAAAAACGTGCGGCAAGCCAAGAAGAAGCGAATGTGATGGGTGCGAATAAAGAGCAGCAGCTAAACGGATATATAGACATCATAGCGAATGGGTTAAGCTGTCAGGGATGTGGCAAAAAAATGTGTATAGTAACGGAGGTCACCACGACTGCGGTTTTGCTTCTTTGACTGAGGTATGTGGCTCTGTGCTGTGCAGCTCGCGGGCGAGAAATCACGTCCATGCAATTAAATCTTATTCGACCAACCATTTAATAGGATAAGAGCATGAGAGTAAAAGGCGAAGTCGATTAAATGATAAACGTTTAAAAAGTCTACTATAATTACTGATGGAAAGCAGAAATAGTGGCAGGGGTCATGAAGAGACTTCTCTTCGCTCTCAGTCTGGTGTGTGTGGAAGTTTGAGATCCCGATAGCACATTCTGGAGGTTCAAAGCTCTGATGCTTTCATTTTCTTTATATATAAATATATATATATATATATGTTGCGTTGCTGCGGCACTTTGGTCGGTGCAACACGCCAAATCATTGTTTGACAGCTCTATTGTCTTTCTTCTATGCATATTTTTTGGTTTTGAATAATTACCCCCTCCCCTCCCCCCCCCTCCCCCTTTCATACAAACTCACAAAAAGATATTAAAGTTCAGCTCGTATGCTTCGTCACTCGTTTCTCTTTTTCAAGGTCTCCCGTGCATGGCCAAAGGGGTACCCCAGCGTGGCGGCCTCGCACTTCCGAGAGGGCCTCCGCCCCTCGCCGGGCGTGGTCGACCCCGCCCAGCAACGCGACGCCAACACCTCCGCCAAGGAGCAGCGAAGCTGGACGCTCACCGAGGAGGAGGCCTCCCACCTTGGAGGCTTCTCTTCGCACCAATCCCCCCCTTTTCCCTCCTCCCCCGCCCCTCCACAGGCGCTGCATCGCCTGACGAATCGCGTTCGAGCCTACGCGAACCTCGTGCGATGGGATCGGCCGCAGGGGTGGCAGCTGCTCTTCCTCCCCTGTGCTTGGGGGGTGACGCTTGCCGTCACGCGCGCGATGGTCTGGGAAGGGGCGGACCCGTTGGTGCTTTTTGCGCCCTTTTTTCCTATCCATCTCGGGATTGCCTTCTTGGCCGGGGCCTACTTCATGCGGAGTGCGGGGTGCATCGTGAATGACATGTGGGATCGCAAGATCGATGCGATGATGGAGCGCACCAAAGGGCGCCCCCTCGCCAGCGGGGAGGTCTCCACACGGGAGGCGGTTTATCTGCTGATCGGCCACCTCATTGGGGGGGCGGCGGTCGCCGTGAATCTCTCGCCGGCGGCCCTCACCTTAGCCTTGGCGGTCACCCCGATCTGGGTGATCTACCCTTTTATGAAACGCGTGACGTACATGCCGCAGGTGGTGCTGGGGTTGTGCTTTAATTGGGGGATTTTTGTCGGTTACGCGGCGGTGTTGGGGAAGGTGGATTGGGCGGTATGCTTGCCCGCCTATGTCGCCGCCGTCGCGTGGACGGTGTTGTACGATACCATTTATGGCTACCAAGATCGCGAGGATGATATCAAGTGCGGGGTGAAAGGGTTGGCCGTGCTGATTGGCAATCGAAAGTACATCCTGCAAGCCTTGCTGATACCCATAGCGACCGGCCTGCTGCTCTCGGGGTTTATGGTTTCCCAGTCGCTGCCTTACTACTTTGGTGTGATGATCTGCGTGTACTACCTCCATGTCATTCTTGACAATGTCAATATCTTTGATCGGTGGTCCTGCGCGCAGTTTTTTAAACGCAACGTTCGCTTTGCGGTGTACGTCCTCCTGTCGATGTTCCTTGGCAACCTGATGTGGGCCTACGCGTCGGAACACGAGACGGATAAAGACGCCAATACCAATTCTGTCGAAGCGGAGTCATCCCTATCTCGCTTTCTCTTCCTGGATCAACGGAAGCAGCCGCGGCTGTACAATTCAGACAGCTTTAATTGGTTCGACCGCGTGGTGCATCCGGTCTTCGTGCAGGCTGAGGTCGCCAAGATCTCGGGCGAGACGGATCCACCACCGGTTCCCGCGTGGATGCGGCGGGAGTACGTTGGTGATAATATGACCATGATCATGCGTTTTTGCGGAATTCCAGAAGAAACCATATCGACATGGCTCAAGTGGTGGTATTCCACCATGGATCATTACAATGTGTTTTCAAAACTGGTGATTTAAATAGGGTAAGCCAAGTGATTGTGTATATGGCATTACCAACAATCAATATGATCCCCATGGGTATTTTTGCTGGAGCAGTGATGCTTTAATCATTGAGAGGTATCATTATATATGGATTAGAATGTGATATATTTATCGTTCGCATTTATCGTTCACTTTTATCGTCTTCCTGAAGCGTAAAACAAAGCCCTTCAATCATTTTGGTTTTCATCTTGTTATGCGGTTAGAACTTTTGTTTGAACTCTATTTCTGGTATGTGTGCTAGTGGGAGACGCAGAAAGGCTACTCTTTTTTTTTTAGCAAACACTTAGCTTGCCTGAATTTATACAATCTTCTTATGAAGGCCCGCTTCTTGGTGCCATTCCTACTTGTTGTTTGTAACCCAACCTTATTATTTGCTTTGTCCAAACTTTGTGGGTAAATTGCCTCAACGAAATAAATGAGGAGTGAAAGTTCCCAATCAAACACGATGGTTTTGGCGCCAGCACACACTTTATTATTATTATTATTATTATTATTATTACGCATGTAACCTTTTCTGAAGATGGGAAAAAAAAGATTTCTTATGCATATCCTAATGTAACCATATTAGGTGAAATAAGATTTCGATCAATCATCCGCACCAAACCAAAGTTCGAACGGATTATGCCTTACCGTTGATGAACTGCCCATGATGCAGCTAGCTTGACGGTTATCTGATTCGTCCTAACACTTGATTTTTAAAGTTAAATTCTTGGTAAGTAACTTCAATTATGTTGTATACATACTTCTTATATGAGATTGTCAGGCCTGTTTTCATCAAGACCTATATGTAATTTGTTCATTTTTTTTTTGTCACCCTTTCTATTTTTTTCTTTCTTCCTCCGTAGTTCCCAGACCAGGAGGGTGGGGGGCAAATAAATTTGGCATCAATTCGTTTTTTTCGATACATTTACCACTTATTATTATTATTATTACTACTACTACTACTACTAACATTCGTCTATATACACAGGCCGTTTCCTCACTTCCCCAAAGCCATGCTACATCTCCGCGAGATCAACTGCCCGGCCATCCTCACTCACCCCGTCCATCGTATTAAAGGGGTGAGTGTGCCGAAAGGCACCAATCCGTTCCGGCTCGCCGCCATCGACATGGATGGAACCCTCCTCAACGACAAGCACAGCGTCTCCGACTACACGCGGCGGGTTCTCTCGCAGCTCCTCGCGCGCGGCGTCCACGTCGTCTTCGCGACCGGCCGCCCGTTCACCGACGTCTACCGCATCAAGCGGAAGCTGAACATCTTCGCCTCGATGGAAAGCATCCCGACACCTGGGGTGCAGGTCGTCACCCCGTGCGTGGCGTCGCCGAATATGGAGATGCCGAAAGGCGATCTCATCGCGAACGGCCATCACCGGATGGAGTGCCTCGTGCCCCGTTGTTTCGCCATCACCTCCAACGGCGCCTGCATCTACGACGAGACGAATCACCTGGTTCGAGAGTGTTGTATTGATCCTCGGATCTGCCACGAGCTGTACTCCATGTTTATTGATGATCCCGAGGTGAACATCAACGTCTTCCGGCGTCTGGATAATATCAAGGAGCTCGGGAAGTCATCCTCGAGCTTAAGCGACTCCACAGAGGATGAATCCTGTGAGGAGTGGGTAAGCCGATACCCGAGCGACCTTGAGGCCGCGATCTATCACGAATCGCACTTCACCTTCCGCGTCGTGCCGCATCTGGAGCGCGACTTCCCCACCGACCACGTCAACGAGATCTTTTTTCTCTGTTATAACCCTGCTAAGACCGCCCCGGTGGAGGAGGCCATTATTGCTCGAATGAAAGAGCTGCAAAAAGAGCTTCATCTTGAAAGCACCGTCCGAGTCGCTCCTTCGGCGCAGCACTGCTTAGACATCGTTCCCGCGAATGTTAGCAAGGCCTCCGCGCTGGAGTTTGTGGTTGATCAGCTTGGATTAACCATGGAAGACTGCATCGCCTTCGGGGATGGGTTAAACGATGTGGAATTATTGCAGTCCGTTGGGAAGGCCTTCATCATGGAAAACGCGAATCCACGACTAAGGAATATGTTGCCACACCTTGAGGTTATCGGAAGGAACAATGATGATGCCGTTGCGAAGAAACTATCAGAAATATTCCAGTTAGACTAGTGCATCTCAAAGTAAAAGGGAAATCAAAATAGTAATCCATTGACAAAATTTGCTATTATAATGAAGATAAACCATTTAGCCTAATGCCACACTAACCAGCTTTACTATGAAAAATTATTTTATTTTTGCATATTAGTATGGAAAGATGCACATTTATGTTCGTCATCGAATCGCAAAAAGTTAAAAATGCGATTCCGCGCACAAATTTCTAGGGAAAAGGAAAATATATAGGATAATAATGAGGATGGAGGGTACACTTTTTTTGTCAATAAACATTTGTATATAACTTTTCTTTTAAATTTGGGTCTCAATAAGATTTTTATTTTATTGCATCAATATAATTACAAAATAAATGTTCGTGAAATATGTGTATTTTGAAAAGAAGCTTTTTCTTTGGATAAAAATATTTATATTTTAATTCTAAGTTACATTGGGGATCTAGTCTTCTAAATTTCTGCCGAAAAGCGAGAGGCATGATCTTTAGAAAATTCATTCCTTTTTCGCCTCTTATCTATTACTTTTTCTGTTTAAAAATTCATTCAAATTTGCCGAAGCGATTCTTTTAAGTTTTCTAATTTCGATGTCTACAGACATGTTGCCCTTTTTACTTGTTGCCTCGGACTTAGATGGCACTCTATTTGACAACAACTGCCAAATATCAGACTACTCAAAACGAGTAATCTTCCGCCTTTACCATGAAAAGAACGTTAAGCTTGTGATGGCCACAGGTCGACATTGGCGGTGCGTAGAAGCCGCCAAAAACAGCTTGGTGGAATACTTCAAGCGGGCCTACGCTGAACTTGAAAGCACAAAAGAGGGAGAAACGATTCCCGAGAAGCATCATGGTTTCTATGTAATATCCTCGAATGGGGCACTCGCTCACGATGATGAGGGAAGGGTCCTTGTTGAACGTCACATAAACCCAGATATTGTCAAAGAGCTTTATTGCTCTTATGGATTGCCTAACACAGGCTTAAAGCGTAAGCAGAAACAGACAGATAATGAAAAAGAGTGTGGACTGCCGTCATCCCCTGATTCATCTTCAGGGAATGGAGAGAATAAATTTGGTGAACCTCAAGCAAATGCAACTAATGTGGATGTAGGCGGCCTGAACGAGGATCCGGATGAGTTTTCGCTCGAAAAGGTGCGCGTCTCCGCGTACACAGCGAAAGAATGGTTCCTAACTTCCCGATTTCTTCCAGAAGAAATGATGATGAAAAAGTTTGGATACATTCCTATTATCATGGAATTTGATCCGAAAGACCCACGCAATGATGGCAAGAGTGTGCACGACTTATTACCGTCGGAAGGGGTTAATAAAATTTGCTTCCGAAGCAAGGACCGTGCTCTACTAAGCACGATTGAGCAGGAACTTCACGAGCGGTTTGGAGACCAAATTTCTGTGGCATTTTCCTCTAATTTTTGTTTAGACGTTGGTCCTAGTGGAGTCACAAAATTTTCGGCTCTGCACGAAATCGCCAATCACCTTCACATTGACGTGAAACGCATTCTCAGTTTTGGAGATAGCATGAACGATAAGGAAATGCTGGAGAACGTCGCCAAAGGCTTTCTCATGGATAATGCGCAGCTCCGTCTAAAGAAGCTATTGCCACAGTGTACGGTCATCGGGCATAACAATGATGACTCAGTAGCAAAAAAGATTGAGGAAGTGTTTAACTTGGTATAAATTCCTTTAAAAAATAATCAGATAAATCTAAACCCTAATTTTAGCCGGTGCGCATTAATCCGTTAACCATATACGTGGAGCTTTTTTAACATTCACTCAGAAAAGTCCTCTGGGTAGCACTGTGAGAAATGGTATGAAATAATGCGTAAGGCACTAAAAAGTACTTGATATGTGGGAAGGATCACACCAGCCAAGATAAGCCCTACATAATCAGTGTGGTAGCAGACTTCAGAGTTTGTTTTATTTTCTTGAATAATAAATATCTATATATATATATATAGATAGATATAGATATATACGTATGGATAAATATATAGATGTATAGAATAACTTTAGCCTATAATACTTTAACTAGGTACTGATGTCTTCATCCTGTAGGGTTTTTGGGGGGAAGAGGGTGAAATGTAGTTGAATAATATCTACGGATATATTGAGGACAGTCTCGCTGATGTTATTGCCTTAATACATTTTTCCTCTCCACCTTCGCTTTGCGTTGTGCTTTGGCTGAGCAGACATCGTGCTTGTTTATCACAAAGCACTTACTTACATCCATTTCAACTTATACATTTTCGTAAGGAGTCTAGGTAGACTGTATTATGTGATCATTTTATACACAATCATTAGAACTACTTTTTATCTTCCTATTACATGAATCGTGCTGTTATACCACACGAGGCGTCTCAAGACCATCTAAACAGAAACAATGAATATTCGGATACGTCCTACACCAGCTCAGACGCTTACGGCGCTCAAGTTCCCGAGAACTTAAGACAGCCCCCCCCGCAGAACGTGCAACAACAACCGCCGCCGCAGCAATATCTGCAGCAGTTTGGTGAGCCACAACGTGAAAATACCGCGGTAGCGGGCTCCAGACTAGAATATCCTTCAGAAAGGAGCGCTGTGAACAGGATGGAGGAACCAGACATGGGAGGCTCGCGTTCAGGATTCCCTAACCGCTTACGGAATTCCATAGCTAAATTCTTTCAACTAGACGCTTCAGATATTCAACGCATTACAAGTTACATTTTCTTCTTCTTATGCTTCCTGAATCTTCTTTTCTTGAATCTCTCGTGCTCACTTTCACAGATCGACGCGTTGAACAATAAGTGCATGACTTTCTGGGGGTATAAGAATAACTGTGATACAGTCAGTTACACAGTAGATGTTGATTTGCTCGAATGCGACAAGGAACGAAGGAGGCTAAAATTGGGTGCTGCTTTTTCCATTCTGGCTATTATTTTTTCGGCCCCATTATTGTTCATGAGCTGGATTGTATGTTGCTGGGTGCACTCTCAGAGACTCAAAAGTCTGCGTTCAAGTACTAAAGAAGGGCATACACCAAGAATTCCTTTGGTGAATCTAGGAAAGATGAGATGGTATATGATCGGCACTATGATTATGGTTTCAGTATTTGCGTTAATTCCATGGGTCATCATTGCAGACACCCACAAAGATGGTTTGTGCGTTAAACTACTTGGGAACGATCAAACTTACGGTCCAGGTTTTTGCTTGGGTATTTGTGCATGGATCTTAGAATTACTACTAGGTTGCTTGTTTGTTTTAATATAGAGGAAGTTCGGGGCAAGGGTCAATTTACTATTTTCTTGTGCTTCGACTAATACGTGTGGCATAAATTTTCATAATATGTGCTCCATCTCTAATTATGGCTTTTCAAAATAGAATCTCCTTGATGCAAGTTGCTATAAATGTAAATCTGAAAAAAATAGAGTTAGCTTAGCCTTACATACTGAAAAAGCGAAACCGATAATTAATTTTTGCTTGCGGACCTGTGCGTGCCTAAAATTTATTTTTAAACCTCCACATTTACCACCTTTCTAGAGAATAATCATAGAGAAAAGAAGAATGGTAAAATGGGGGAAATCCAATTCGTAAAGGCCACTTTTTTTCTGCAATTGTCTACATGTTGTGGTATCTAACGCACTGGGTAAAAGAAGATTTTTTATCATTCTCTGTATGAATGATCATAATCTATTTCCACTGAAAAGTGTTGAAATGGCGTTATTATTATCTTTTTATTTTCGTTTCTTTGGATTGCATGACCATTAATGTCTTTATAGTGTTAGTCTATGAGGCAAAAAAAAATTGTTTATACTTTCTATATCTTACTTACCTACATTTATCTTTAGATCTGTTTTTCAAGTCACTTTTGTGAATGACTAAACCTGAATCGAAAAATGCATCTGGGAGGTTGTTTGATAGCATCCTATCCGATGACGACGATCTCAGTACAACCTCTTCAGATACCCATGGCTCGCATGGTATAAGCAATATACAGAATACCCGTGAGCAGAAGCTTCAGGTGAAAAGAATCCATGATGAAAAGGAAGAATCCACCACCTCCCCTAAACATTCTTTGAATGTCCATAAAGACCCGTTTGTACCCCCAGTACCTTTTGTGTTGTCGTCTCACAATCAACCAGAAGCTCACGTTGCAACTGCTTTGACCAATTCTCAATTACAGGAATCTATTAAGATAGGGGGAATGGTGTTTATGAATGAAGATCATACACAGATCCCCGCAGTAGACACACAGCCAAATACAACCAAGGACCCAGCTTCACCGCATTCTGAATTAGTGACGGATGGGTCGGTTTTCAGACTGCAGAGTTTAGATCTGGGTTCACCTCACGCGATGAGCTCCAAGGTATTGCTTTCGTCCAGCAACACGAGAGAACCGCCCAAACTTGGCGAGGAGTCGGACCACAACTTAAGTGGTGCGTCCCCCCATGTTGATACCTTGCCAACTCCAAAACAACCTATTGCCGTTGATTTTCCCAACATCCAAACTGGTGGGGCGGCCGAGGCAAGGAATATCGAGGAGCAAAGGGGATTCCCTGAACGCGGGATGGCGCCAGACGTCAGCGTCCACTCTCCACACTCTCTTCTTCCTATGCGTCAATTTGAGGCTAAGGGGGTGAGCCCCAGCCTAATCCAACAGCAGAACGACAGTGAAATGGATCATTATCAAACCTACAAGTGTCCATATCTTGCCGCATATATCTTCCCGCGTTTGGATGCGTCTCTGGTGAATTCAGACACGAAATTCACATACGAGAATCCTCCTCCAAACTGCGTAGAATCTTGTATTGCCTTTCTGTTGAGAGTTGATCCCCGTATGATGGTATACTTTCTTGTTCTATTGGTTTCCGTGTTTCTAACTTTTATTTCAGTCTTTGCTCCCCAAATCGTCCACATTCAAGATAGCTGCTACACCTATTGGGGATATAAGGCTAACTGTACATATACCAGCTACACTACTCCCGTGTTGTTGATCAAAGACAAGAAAATCAAAAATGCTTTGTACAATGGATGTATCTTTTCGATCATTACGTTGATTCTTTACCTATTAGCACTCATCTTTGTATGGGTGTATATTTTTTGTATAGATAAACCGCCGCGAAATATGCCAAAGATTCATCGATGGAGAATTGGTGTCCTTGGTTTCTGTGCTTTTATTATGCATTGTGTCGCATGGGTATTGATCTTGCACCTGTACCGGACAGATTTCCATAATAAGGAGACTGAAATGACAGCTCTTGGTCTGGGATTTGATTTTTCACTAACGGCGTGTCTTATTCACTCGTTAGGATTAACTTTGTTTCTTTTTGTACCATATTCTAAGATTCTCTGCATATAGAACCCTATTAGGGCTCAACATGAACGTTGATCATATTCAATTAGAGTAGGTTGATATTATAGAAGTTGCTAACATTTTGAGAGCTTACGCTTCTTCTTATTACTAGAGAAAATATTCTGTGGGGCACTAACGAGATGAAAAAAAATAACATTTATGGCTGTTTGGATCATCAACTTTAGTCAATTTCTTGATGCCCCAAATCGCGTTTTTTCGTCTCTTTTATTTTTAGAAATTATTAATTTGCATATTTTCCAGCTCCCCTATTTAGCTGTGCAGACAAACATTATATTATAGTGTCGTGTTGAGTACTGTATTTTGCGGTTAATTTGACATAATATCTTATGTTTCTTTTTACTTTGATGCTCTTGGAATCTGATACAAATGGTCTACTGATGAAATATCCATTCATTTCCTTATTTGGTCGAAGAATGCTTATATTCCTCTTTATACTCTCAACCCAACTAACGTTCCTGCATTGCTTGACACTTTTAAACTTCTTATCCATCTTATTCTATATATTTCCAAC